GTGTTGGGCCCATAGAGCCCATTTGATGGGTTTCAAGGGGTGCACTGTTCATAACAGTGTATTCGGCCAGGCCTTGTAACAAAGGCTAGGCCGAACCCATGTAGCTGATGTGTAGATCAATGCTTGGGTCCCACGCCATACAAGGAAGCCCAACTAGGCAGCAGTTAGAAAGGTTAAGTGAGCACATAAGCTTAATGGGCCTAAAACCCATTTTGAACTGAGCTATTTAATTAGTTAAATATAGGGCGAATTCTGAGATGGATTAGCATATGGGTTAGGGTCTTAACCCTATCCACTCAAAGAGTCCATATCTGAATGTGATTCAGATCTAGAAACCTCCTAATGAGATTAGGAGAAGGCTAATATGATCTGCAGATAAGATAAGGGTTAATCCTTATCACCTAAAGGGATATCCGAGATTTGGATCAGCAAGTCTTAATTGGATTAGGAGCTGATCCTTTAGGGTTACAAGAGAAGGAAGGGGCCGTAGCCTTTAGGGGAGTTGGTTTTACATCCTCTTTAGTGCTGAAAAACACAGAAGAAAAAATTAAGCAACCCTGCAGAATTCTTTCTTGCCGCCCAGTTTTCCAGTTCGATCTCCAGTTGTGGGAGAAGTCAAGATTCGATATTGACATCAATTCTTTGAGAAAGAATTGATAGGAAGCTGTGCTCACGTGCCATCCTACTGTTTTTGCGAAGGACATAATTCTTGGAGAAGAGAACTGCTGATTCTGCTCCATCCTGCACTACGCCATATTCAGTGGGAGCAGTCTTTGGATCCTTCTTTGGGTGTGAACACATTCGTTGGGAGATATTACTTCTCCGTATCAGGTATAATCTTCTCCTACTACTTTTGGTTCATATCTGGTTTAGTTTATTGTTCAAGATTGATCCTTGAAAATATGATTTTCTAAATAGGGAATGCGATTCCCAGTTGAAAGGGAGAAAAATTTTTGGAATTCGCCCCTTTATTTCACAAGATTTAAACGTTCATACGATGGATCTCTCATCCCTTCAAGGTATTCAAAAACTTGTGGTGATTTAATGAGAAGATTCATATATGAGGTAATAGATGAAAGCAGAGTGAAGTTTTGGTTGGATCCGTGGTGTGATGACCAGCCTCTAAGAGATGTTTATCCACAGCTGCACCAGTTAGCCAGCCATTAGGAGGCTTCATAGCTAACTTGTTCAATTTTCATGGGGAGTCTGGATCCTCAAACCCTACATTCACGAGGAGCTTTATTGGTTGGGATGTGAATTTGTTAATGGAGATGCTGCAAAAGATTTACACTTTAACTCCTGACAGAAACAAGGTGGGAAGGAGGGTGTGGAGATTGAGAGATCAGGTAGTTTCATGGTAAAGTCTTTCTAGGGCAGGTTATCTATTGGAGATGGAGAAGGCATTTTGGTTGCAAATGTTTGGCATTCAGTGGCTCCTCCAAAGGTGGCCTTCCTCTTGTGGACAGCTGGCTCAATAAGCGTTTGACTATTGATAACTTGACAAAAGGTGTGTGGCAGTGAGTAACCCCGTGTTCGATGTGTTCTGAGGAGACTGAATCAGTAGACCACTTATTTGTGCATTGTCCAATGACTTGGAGGATCTGGGGAAGGATGTTGGATACTATTGAGTTGCATTTTTGTTTCCCTGCGAGCCTGGAGAGTTTATTGTGGAGCTGACAGTTAAACGGTTTGACTTTTAGCAGAAGAGGAAAGATCATTTGGGAGGGGGGGGGGGGTCATTCCTTTGGTAGTGGTTTGGTCAATTTGCACTGAAAGGAACAGACGATTTTCAACAATGCTGTATCAACAAAGGAATACATTGTTAAGTCCATGTGGGGTTGGTTACATTCTTGGGTGGGAATTCATAAGGCATTCAAATGCATTCCTTTTAAGGTATTTATTTATTTTTTTGGTTTGGGATCCTCCTTTTGTATCTAGATACATTTTTTGTATAGCTTCCATATAGCCTTGTTCAGATCCTTCCTGGTGGGAGGGGGGGATCTCGTCTTTTTGCTCAATATAATACATGCCTTTTTCAATATAAATACAAAGATTCTGAGTGCAATTAAATATTTTGAATGTATGATTACGGAGATTTCTTAACTGACTCATTAGTACAGGGAAAACAAAATTAGAATACAAGATGAGAACAGAGAAGAGAAATTTGGAAAAGTATAAATCCACAGCATACAAGATTAGACATTCCATTTCTTTTTTTCTTCGAGCTTAGATAAGATAACAACCTTCCAAAATAAATCCTTGTTTCCAGATCAAAAACACATGAAGAATTTAGGAATTCAGCAAAACCCAATCCATTTTCAAATTAGTAGTATAACTTCAACAGAGGATTCATATGTAAACAAACAGATAAAAAACCTAATAGAACTCTTTGAAAATGTAACAGGTCCTCAGCGCAATCTCCTGCCTTCTCTTTCAGACTCAAGCAAGGTGAGGATATCACCCTCCCTGACAGGTCCCTTCACATTCCATTTCTGCATGTTTCTTCCTTTTCTTCTCTCTCTTGATCTCTCATGCAACAGTCATCTCTATCAAGCTTTTATGCGGACCACAAATGAACCTGCTAATCATTTAAAACAAGGAACGAAGTTGTTAAATATATAGTCCAACTAGTATTTCACTCAAACTCAAAGTACATATGAACTGGCACCTTGAGATGCAAATTTTCAACCAAATAATTTCTAATGGTGTACAAGGCATTCTATAAAATAATAACAAAAGGTAATTAAACCTGTGAATCATGTTAGAAGAATACCATAGAAAGGAAAATTAACACTTTGGATTACATGCAAATGAAGAGGCATTTCTATGTATTTCCCCGAATTGGTGCACTCTTTGTAAATCAGATGGTGAATCTTGTTACCACTTACTTATTTCCTATTCATTTGCTGCAGAAAATTGGGAGTGGTTTTATTTTTTGTTTGGGCGCAGGTGGAATATGCCAATTGAGATTAAGATGTTGTTTGATCCATCTCATTTGCTTGGCCGAAGAGAAGGGGAAGAATAATGTGGAGGTGCACTAGAGCAGCAATGGTTTGAACATTATGGGAAGAAAGAAATGACAGAATCTTCCAAGAGAAGGAGAGAGGCAAACAACAAATTATGGTTTGTGTAATGACTACAACTATATACTAGCTACAAACTATGGAATTGTTCAAGCATTTTTCCTTTGATGATATTTGGAGGAATTGGTTCAAACTATGGAATTCAGTGCAGAAGACTAAAACACGGTTGGTTTAGACACCTCCCATTGAAGGCTTTATGAAACTAAGATTGTGTTTGGAAGTGGTGTAAAACCTCATCGATGTAAAAGTTCATTGATGGAGTTTCACACCGAACCGTAAAAGGTTCTAAACGTTGAGCTTCGAAAAATGTGGAGTTTTTACATTGATTTTATTGATGTAGTATTTACATCGATAATCAATGTAAAACTTTACTTTAGATGATGTTTTACATCGATTTATGATGTAAAACTCTACTCCATCCAAACGCCGATAAATCTAAACCGGGAGTGGAGTTTTACATCGATCTTGATTTACACTCCATCCAAACACCAACAAAACTGAACCGGCATAAACTTTTACATCGATGACGTTTTACATCGTTTCCAAATGCAGCCTAAACTTTGATGGGAGCAGTCTAGGCAACCCAAGCCCTTCTGGAATTGGAGGGGCCATAAGAGACAATGATGGGAATTTACAAGCACTTTATTCAGGACCGATGGGGAATGGAGACTCCTTAAGGGCTGAACTGTATGCAGTCCTACAAGGTACACAGATTGCAAGAGAGATAGATTTGGAGAATTTGGTGATAGAAGGGGACTCCAAGGTGGTGGTGAGCTGGCTTAGAGATCCAAACTCAGTGATATAGTGTTATAGAAATGAAATGAAGAAATTCAAATGGGTAATACAACATATGAATTTGACTATACAATGGGTGGGAAGGGAGGCTAATTTATTTGTCGACTATCTAGCTAAGAAAGGAGGAACTAGGGATCAGTTGTATTGGGCCCACTTGTAATTTTTGTACTGTTTTTTTTTTTCTTTTAAAGAGTGAGCTGCACCTCATGCCTCCCCTTGGGACGCTTGTAACAGGCATTTATCTTTTTGCTGCTAATGAATTATTAATGAACTTTTACCTATCAAAAAAAAAAAAGAAAAGAATACCATAGAATGCATTTCAAAATGACAACCTTGAACACTCATGGATTTTGAGATGTACATATAATATGTATGTTTATATGTGCTGAGTGTAAGATTACCGCCCTATCGATTGAATTACCAGATAACTTTAATAATATGTTTTCTCCCAGTGTTTTATTTTTGATTATTAATGAACTTTTACCTATCAAAAAAAAAAAGAATACCATAGAATGCATTTCAAAATGACAACCCTTGAACGCTCATGGATCTTGAGATGTACATATAATATGTATGTTTATATGTGCTGAGTGTAAGATTACCACCCTATCGATTGAATTACCAGATAACATTAGTAATATGTTTTCTTCCAGTGTTTTATTTTTGATTGTTAACATATATTTTGTTGATAAGAATACAGAATGAATAACTCACATGCAGGAAGATTGGACGTGTCTACAGAAACTGCACAAGGGATTCCCAGATTTGAAAGTGCTCCCCTTATGATCCCACATGGGAAGTAGAGGTGCATGCTAGTGATTTGTACTGCCCTGTTCTCAGCAGTTTCCCCAGATGAGTCCTGAGATAAATCTGCATTTGCTGGGGATGGATCAATTGACATGCGTGTAAGCCACTGGAATCGATTATCTTGCAAGACAAAGGTACCCTGCAAGACAAATATGCTTTTGTCAATATTAGAGGAAGGTTCTTCACTTCTCTGCACTTCAGCTTATTGGACATACCCTATGATTGGTTTTCAAATTGTCAATCTGCTTCTTGAAGAGCTCAGCCCAGAAATCCTTGCAGATGAACTTGATTGCCTCAAGATGATCACTGAACCGAGGACGCTCCATGGTATACCTGGCATGAATTCAAGTGTAGAGTTCATAAGGAGTTTGCTACAAAAATCTATGTATAATTTCCAAAGTTAAATCACCACAGAATAATAACTAAAATAAGTATTGCTTATTTTTCTGCTTTTGCAATTTTTTGTGGTAATTGGAAGAAAATGGTTATTGGACGTGGGCATCATCATAGTCCTGAAATGAATCTAGGAGTATTCTAGACTTTGAATTTTTCTGATTTTAGTAATTTTTTCCTTTTAGTGGTATTTCAATAATGTTATACGAGACTGAAGCTTTCAAGTGGCAATTTTGTAATTTGGATTAAAGTAGCCCAATCCCTACTATTTCCTTATTAAATTCATCTTCTAGCCATGTTTTGGATGGAAAGTGAATTGTAATCTGTAAGTGCTTGTCTTCCTTATGTGTTTCTTCTCAACATAAGCCTTTATTTTCTTTCTCTCCACTCTTCTTTGTACTACTTTTTTACAGATTTAAATAAGATCTTCTAGTTAAGCATTTCTTCTAGCTCTCAACAAGGCTACTGTTTTAGTTTTTTCCAGTTGTTATATCTTTCTCAAAATTTCTTCCTTTTGTGTAAGATCAATTCAGATTATTCTCAAATTTAGGACTCCCTCGTTATTCTCTGTTATACATCCTACTAAGTTTCAATTCAAAGTTCCAACTAAAACCCTAATTTTCAGAAAATTTGAGTTTTCCTTCACAAAGAAGGTTTTGTCTTTTTGTGTCCAAACTAACCAGAACCCCTTAAAATTAAATATTCCCATACATCCCCCTATGTTAAGTCTGCACATAAAATAGAAAAGTTACATTTTTTGGCAGAGAAGTAACATTCCTAGACCTATTTTCTTGGTTCTTGCAAATTTTGTTAGTTTATAGAGGAACCAAAATATTGTTGAATCAGATATAGAAACCTTTATAGGTCAATTCTTACATCTTAGTTAGCTCCAACAAACTCTCTTAGAGCTGTACTTCATCTCCTTGAGTCACTTCTTTAGGCTTCAGTCCACCTAGCTCTCATAGGACTATCTGCCCTACATCATTAGTGAATGGTCAAGTTTAGTGAATCAATTAGATTAGGTGTGACTTGATTGAGATGTGAGTGCTAAAGGGTAGGCATATATCATGGGATACTGATAAAGAAGCAACCAGAGAAAGTTTGACAAAAATTGTCACGATATATTGGCTGAGTTTGTCCACACTCAGTGGCACCAGAATGCACTAAATTGAAATTGTAGAGAGTTGTACACTGAAAGTGGCAATGCTCCCATTCTCAAATCTCAATGTTTTGAACCATATACAATTCTACATTAATGAATTCCAGATAGAAGAAAGTACAGAAGAGGTATAAGAAACAGAAGAGAAAAGAAAAGAAAACAAGGATAAGGAGATTATAGTAGAAACGAATTCAGATCTTACTCCCCCCCCCCCACTCTCTTACCTGCTTTTCCCCAAAACCCATTCTACCACTTTCTGCACCTTAATGACACTCCCTAAAGCACGTCGCATTCCAATTCATGTGTTCCTAACCATGCGACCGAATTTGATTTCATGCTCTTTAGTCCCGTTATATGAGTGTAACTGATGCCTGTGCGAGAGATCAAATCTTTTCCAAAATTCTCCTCTTGTTTAAATTACTCCTCTACTCACTTATCATGCCCCAATTTTTTGGATCCCTTATGTTTCGCTGGTCATAGAGTGTCTTTCTTTCTCTCTTTCCTTTTCTTAATTCAATCCTAAACAGTGTCAAAACAGCTTATGATGAACCCATTAGTGAAGAATCTATCTCAATGCGAATCCTAACCAGATTAAATTCTCCGATCTATTGAAGAACAAGAAGTTCAAATCATCACAAAGCCCAACAAATCAAATAGCTAACATAATTACATAAACCAATTCATTAATAAGAATATGGCTGTTTATTGATTCGAGAAGGCATCGTACCTCTCGGAAAGCTGGTGACCAACTTGATATCCGATGGCCTCGATCCTCCGGGCTGCGAGCTCCGGCTTGGTGGAGTAGAATCGGTTACAGTACGCCGATACCATCTCTATCATCAGATTATCCACGCAACTCTCCGACACCTCCCTCCCCATTCCTCTCTCTCTCTCTCTCTCGCACAAGTGAAAAGCGAAGACGATGATTGACTGATTGTCTGGGCTGGGCAATAGTAGGTAAATACTGTAATAGATACAGTACAGTTCTTGTGGGCTGGTTTGGGCCAATACTGTTACTTCTGACCTAAGACTCCAGCTTGGTCCGGCCTGATCTGAGTCAAGGTCAGCGACTCTGCATCAGCCAAAGAGGAGATTTATCAGCATTCAGCAAAGGCAAGTAGCAACTCTAACTCCTAAGGGCGTGTTTGCCAACTTGAATGACTTTGATTTCTTTAGGTAAATTAGGTTATATTTGGACGTTTACTTGAGAAAAACAGCAGAAAGTTGAACTCTTCAGGAATTTTTGGTGAAATTTTTTCAGAACTTTTCCTCAACTCTCTGTTCCTCTTTTATCTTATTTTCTTTCAATCCAAACATAGCCCTAAGGTTTTTAATCTTTTCCTAAGTAAAAATAAATTCATTAAAAAAAATATATGTCTTTAAATGGACTTGAAAGCTTTACTTGCTTGACTAAAATATACATCCTAGGGATTCATTGGTGGCCCATCATATGGGCTCTTATATGGATCCAATTATCAAGTTACATTTGGATTGGGGCTTCAAAACACAATTACCCCACTTTAAAATTTTAGGGGCCGTTTGCCAACACGAGTGCCAATTGATCAATCTTAATTTATCGTTTTTGGGCCACTATATATTGGTTATTGATTAGAGGTGTAAAATGAGTCGTGCCGCTTGTAGGTTGACATGACCTAATATTGTCCAGGCTGTGCCAGCCGTCCTATCATGGCATGAACCCTATGTCAGGCTGGGCCAAGGGGTTGTGGGTCAGGTTAGTATGGCACCCCCAGCCCAACCCAACAATTGTTACAACAACTATATAACCGTTTTAGAGGGGTTTAAATGCTGAAAATATAAAAAATACCTCCAAAAACTATAAATGTTGGTGTATAAAATGACTTAAATGCCCCCAACAGTTATAAATAATTAGTTTAGGATGACATCTTATGTATAGTGGTAAATAAACTTTACAAATAATCAAAATACCCCTCCCAACAACTATAAACAGTTAATTTAGGGGGGCATTTTGATTAATTCTTATTTTTAATCCTTATAAATACCCTAACTCTTACACATTTTGATCACAAAAACAATCAATTTCTCTCATACTCTCTTTTTTTTTTTTAATTTAAACAGAAGGAGGCTTGCATCTTACTCGAATGCTCAATTCAAGAGCTTAAAGGCTTGCATTCAAGTTGAAATATCGTATCAAAGGACTAGAGGCATGCAATTACTAGTTAGTTAGGTTTTTATAAATTTTAGATTTTAATATTTATTAAAATTAAAATGGTTGGTTCTTCTCGCTCTCACACCCCTTTCACTTTAACTTCGATCATTGGCTTTGATGGTTCTCAACACTGAAATTTGAATTGGTGCTAGTGCTACTAGACAGAACCAACATGAGCATAGTCCTAGTGGTTCTAGTTATAAGGCATCAAAGGAAAAAAAAAAAAAAATTGCTAGGAATATTTTACACTTAAAGAATTATCAAGAAAGGGACTGAGAGTAGTTTGCATTAAATGTAAAAGCAGATTTTAGTTATCAAAGTAGTAGTGGCAATAGCTATTTAAGAAGACATGGCAAAGCATATTCAACAAGATCAAAATGAATCAACCTAAACCCAAATTGGTTTTGGGTTTGGATCATTTTCTAATTTTCATTATTCCCAAGATAAAACGAGACAAACATTAGCAAGATATATGATACATGTTAAACAACCATTTATATTTGGAGAAGATATTAGATTTGAAAATTTTGTACAAACATTGATTAATTTTGGATACAAAAAAGTTTTAAGGAATACAACTGGATTAGATGCTATCAAAATTCTTGAACTAGGGGACCAGTTCATGACTGTAGCATTTCCTTCAGCTGGAGTCACAGTGAGGATTGCTGGCTTGCCGTTCCATCTGTGGAAAAAGAAAGCTTTTGAATCCATTGCTTTATCTCTGTAAGGCAAAACTGGTTGGTGTGTTCCTGCTAGACCTTAGATCAGCAGTCATTAAATTGAATGGAGTTAAACCAGAAGAAATCCCTAGGAAGATTGATGTTTTCTCTAATAATTGTGTTTACTCAGCTTGGCTTCTCTCTTCCATTGAAGCTTCACTATGGAGGAAGTCCAGAAGGGAGAAGGAAGAGGAGGTGGAAGAAGAATACTTACATGGAAATCAGGAATTGGCGGATTTGAAATTGGCTGAGGTTTACATAGTTTTGGAAAGTCTTGGAAAGAAGATTGCAAAAGGTGAGATTGCAGGGAAATGCCTTGAGTATGCAAGACAAGTTAAAGACAGATAGGGGTAGGGTGAGCATTTGGTTTATTCTGTTAAAAACCGAATCGAATAAATTAAAATTTTAAAAACTGAATTAAAAAAATAAAAATCGAAACCAAAACTGAAATAACTGAAATCAAAATTTTCGGTTTGATTTTTGGTTATTTTGGTTAAAACCGAATTTTAATAATATATACTCTATTATATATATTATAATATATATTATGAAATCAAATTTCAGTATATTATATATTAATATATAAATATAGGATATTTATATATTATATGTTACATATTATATATTATATGTTAGATATAATAATAAAAAAGTTTGGTTAATTCGGTTAATTGAAATTCTAATTCCAAAAACCGAAATAACCAAAAACCAAAAAAACTAAATCGATTTAACCAAAAATAGAAAAAAACAAACCTAAAAAACGGAAACCAAAATTTTCGATTCAATTATTTGGTTTAAACCGAATAATGCTCACCACTAGATAGGGGCAGGTCCTATGCCCAAGCTTTGACAGGTGGAGCATTAAATGAGCCATCTGTTAGAGGGGCTCACTTTTTGAGTAAAACCATGCCAAGTGTTGAACTGGATAACTTGAAGAGACTCAAACCAGGCCCATAGAATTTTAGTAATGGGCTAAATCAAGTGACACTTGGCGTTGGGCCTCTAGACAACTCAAAGACTTTTAGTAATGGGCTTTTAAATGGGCCATCACCTAGTAATTTAAAGCTTAAAGAAGGGGCTGGGCCGAAGGAACTAAAGGAATCAGGTGATCACTTAAATGGACACGTGACCAAGGCTGGACTAAAGGTGGTAGACCAGTGTTTGGGTCTAGCATCTTTTAACTCTAGATCTGATTCGAAGAGGGAAGGTTCGAACACAACAGTGGCGGAGAAGCTCAGCTGGAGACCAAGACTAGTCTCCTATTCCACGACCCCGGGACGTACAAACCCGAAGTTTGATCTGTGGAGGTTTGACGATGATGGTTTTGATTCAAATTGGGTAAACTATGAAGAAGAAAAAGGAAGATGATGAGCTTCTCCTCAAAGGTTCCAGCATAGGAAGTGTGAGAAGTAGGTACTCGAAAAGCTCATCTATAATGGGTGTAGACCTTGGAACAACACTTCTGTTTGGAGAAGATTTTACCCCTGAGCCTGTGAACTCTTTGGAGATGTTGAAGAGCTTGGGAATGGGAGGCGGTACCTCGAGGGAGGTGAATGTCTTAGCCAAATTCAGAGAAGAACCTGTTCCGCATCTAGATCAAGGTCAAGGTGTCAACAGTTCGAGTTTGCTCTCTCCCAAGTCAAATGGCAAAGAAACAGGCAATCCCTGCTCCCCTATTAGTGTAACACAGGTTAATCCTAAGGAGTACTCTCCCAGCAAACTCCCTCAGAACCTAGGCAGAACTGGTGACATGTCAGTTGTTGTTTTATTTAGCTTGCAGGTGAAGCTGACACTCATCCAAAGGCTGCCTATCCTAGTGACACTCTTCCAAAAGCTGACTGTCCTAGTGTTTCAATTGAAGTAACAAAGATGTTAGAGGATGTGGAGGCTTTGAAGGATACTATGGATGAAGAGGAAAGGATTTGGGAATTAATTTTGTAAACCTTTAGACTCTTGGTAGAGGAGGAATTAGGGGAGAATTTTAAGAAGGAACAAGAGGGTGATACTCCAGTTCCTAGTTCCCAAGTAAGGGGAAGGGAGAGAGAAAGGGTAAAATTGGGCCAAAAAACAAGAAAGAGAAGAATTGGGAAGAAAAGTCAAAAAAAGAAAAGAGTGGAAGAACAAGATATTTCTATGAAAAAGCTTGGAGGTGGGACATCTAAAAGGAAGAAGAAGAAATTGAGTGAAGTGGAGAGATTGAGGTGTGAAGTGGACTATGACAAGGAGTGTTCTAGGAGAAAAGGAAGGTAGTCAGGTCAGCAAAAGGTGTTTTTAGGGTTGCTCATAAGTTAGGTTCTCAATGAAGATTGCAATGTAAGGGGATTGGGGAGTTCTAGGAAGAGAAGAGTGATAAGGGAAATGCTCAGAAAAGAAAAGCTAGATATTGTGTTGATTCATGAATCAAAACTGTCAAAGGTGGATAGGAGATGGGTGAGAAGTATTTGATCGGCTAGAGGACTGAGTTGGATTTTGCACAGTCTTGGGGGGCCTCAAAGGATATTTTGACAAATTGGAAAAACGAGGATTTGGACTGTACAGAAGAATTAATTGGTAACTATACGGTTACAGTGAAGGGATTTTAATGTCATCAGGTTTATAATTGAAACAAGTAACCCCAACTATAGGATCACATCAAGTATGAGGAAATTCAACCGTTTTGTGGATTCTTTTGAATTGAGGGAGATACCGTTGGTGCAAGCTGATTTTACTTGGTCTAATTTTCAGGAAGAATCACTTTGTTGTAAACTAGACAAATTTTTATTCTCTTCAAATTGGGAGGAAGTATGGGGTGGTTTGGTGATGAGGGCACTACCTAGACCTATGTCGAATCATTGTCTAGTTAGAGTATCTCAAGAAAGACTAAGAGGAGGACCTTGCCCCTTTGGATTTGAAAACATGTGGCTGTTACATTCAGACTTCCAAAAGAAAGTGAAAGAATGGTGGGAAGAGCATCAGGTGGAGTTTAGGTGGAAGGGATATAGGTTTTATAAGAAGCTACAAAAGCTAAAAACCAGGATCAAAGCTTGGAACAAAGAAGAGTTTAGTATAATTGAA